CAGTCAGAGGCGGCCATAGCTTTTGCAGCCTTTACCTCTTTGTTCTTCCGGTCAAGCGGCTTGCGAAGGTCGTTCACTCGGAGCAGGGCCTAAGTACAAAGGGGAACAGGCGTCAGTTTCCAAACAAAAAGAAAACAGGCGTCCTGGAATTCAAATACTCAAAAATATGCTAAGTATACCTCAGCAAGGACCCCTGCAATCCCGTCTAGGTCAAGGGTGCCGACACCCCTGACCGCCTCCCTTTCAGCTGGAGGAACGGCCTTGATCATAGACTTGGCCACCTCGACCAAGTCAGGCTCCTGAGGGTCGGCTGCATCAAGCATAAACAAACGGATTAGACCTAGTAAAGAAGGGAGCAAGTCTAAAATTTACAAGGACAATTTCATACTTCTAGGTGGCCCAGCTGGAGTTTTAGAAGAAGCGGCCGGCTGTTTCTCAGCCGCCACATGTTTCCTGGCAGAACCAGGAGAGCTCGCAACAGTCGTCCTCCGGGCCTTGGGGTCCGGCTGTTGGGAAGAAGAAGCTCTTGCTGCGCCCGTCTAAAAAAGAAGAAAAGAGTCAGTATATGCATAAACACAACTCCAAAAAGAGGGTGAAAGGTTCGAAGCCCACCAAGGGTGCCCCCTTGTTGGGGGAGTCGGTTGAAGACTGTTGCATGATGGAGGCCCGCAACATGGTCGTCGCAGTCTTGGAGGCGGTAATTTTGCTCATGGCGTCCGCTGCAAAAACAAATAGCAAAGTTAATAAAAGTCATAACAAGAAATGCATGGAACAACAGAGTATTCGACAGGCCGGCTACCTCTTGAGCACCGACTGCTGAGGCCACAGGCGGCCAAAAAGTACTCGTCGTAGAGCCATTTGAAGCTCGGGACGCAGTGCAGGGGTACTTGCTCTCGTACCCCTGAAGTAGAGTTCACCTTCGACTCTACTTTGAAGAGTCCTTTATCTAGGATCTCTTTCTTAGCCTTGGGGGGAACAGCCGGCATGCTGCGGCCGCCTGTAAGAAGGGGCGGATTCCTGTTCCACCTGTTGAAGCGCTTGTTCAGCTCTGTGTCTGAACTCTCAATGATGAGGAAGGTACTCCGCCAGTCCTTCCATTTGTTTGCTTTACCTCTCGTCATGAGGTAGCCCCTATGGCTCGTCAATTGATACCAGCCGGTACCGCCTGCCTTTGGGGTCCGGCTGAGGTAGTTCATGTGGGCGAAAGCCTCGAAGCTCGGCTCCACCCCGTGCAGTTCGCACCCGGCCACATAGCCGAGTACGTTGACCCAGGAGTTCGGGGCTAACTGCCATAACCCCAACTCATACCCATCCAAGATCCGCTGAACAGTCGGATGTAGTGGGAAGCGCAGCCCAGCCTTGATGGCCGCCTCGTAGCAGCCAAAGTAGGCGCCATCATAACCGGTACCAGCCGGCCAGACGACTGTGTCTTCTGGATCCGGCACGAACACTAAAAAGCCGGGGCCCATTGTGATAAAGCTCTCCACTTTCTCTTGCATGGCTGTGATCCGGCCCCGAGGTACCGTGCAGTAGTAGGGGGTATTTTGCTCTCGGTGAGAGACGGATGGCTCCGCCCAATCGTCCCCCTTCTTAACTGCGTGAGAAAGCCTCGCCTCTTGTAGGCGACTGTTTTTCTCTTCTGTGTCCAGGGAAGCATGGCTAGAAGAGCTAGACTCGGAATCGTCCTCTGACGAGTCCGAAGAGGACGACTCCTCCCCTCTCCCGGAGGGGCCCGCCTCCTCTCCTTTAAAAGGAGTAGGAGAGAATGTAGAATTGTCAACTGTAAAATGGGAAGGGGTCACTTTGACTCCTCCCTCAGAACTGCCGGCTTTCAAGCCGCTTTGTTTCACTTCCACATCTGGCGCCTGGTCAGATGTTTCACTAATCGGCACCCTGTGGGAGGAGCCGTCTGAGTTTGAGATCCTGGCAGTCTTTTTTGTTCTGGCCATCATGCTCTGCATAGACACAGATACAGTCGGAATTTGTATAAAGGGAAAAGATGGGTCCAGAAAAGGGCAGGCGGCACTCCTAGTCCTAGATTCAGCCGTCCCCGGTGACCGGCTGATCACTAACCTAGGTCGTGTCGTGTGCTTCCGTGATGCCATTTCAAAAAAGAATAAAGTAAAGAGAAAATTAAGAGTAAGAGAACCGACGGTTACCTGAACGAGTGACGATTGATGAAGTTTTGAAAATCCTTTGCAGTCGGCTTGTCAGAGCAGGCGGTAGGCAGAAAGAGTCCAAAATGTCAGAGCAAGTTCAGGGGTCCGAATGTTCTCTCACAAAGTTTTCAAGTGTGAAAATGACCGAAGTCAACACTCCTTTATATAGGCGAAGTCAGAAGGCAAAGGGTCACTTCCAGAATTCAAAATTTTGGCGGGAGAATCTCTCGGCCTCTCGCCGAGTGACACCTATAGCAGGTCGTTGCCTGTTACAGGGCGATACCTGTCACAGGTAACACGTGACCAGTCACGTGCCACCTGTGAGGGGAAAATGGTTAGGGGATTTTTCCCCACCAATCACCATCTGACAAGTGGACCAATCAGGTTCTGCCATGTGCCCGTCACATGGGCCAATAGGAGCCTGCCACGTGTCAAGCAATGATCCGTCCACCATGGACCAATTACGACACGACACGTGTCCTTCCCATGACACCTGGGATAACCGGTCACCTAGGCCCAACTTCCGAGGGAAGCCCAATCAGCCCAAGGTTAACCTAAACCTAGATTGACACGTTTCCCGAGGTTATAAATACCTCCCTTAATCCTCATTAAGGGAGATAACACGCAAAAACGCAGATTACACACATTAAACACTCTCACCTAGAGAGACCCAATCACTTTAATTTCCGCATTAATTACTCCTTAATCAAGTACTAACTTGACCGTCGGAGGCGGATCTCCAATCATCCGGAGCATCCGTTTGTTTTGCAGGTACATGCGTCCGGTTCCAGTCTCGGAATTGTAACTCTCCCGCAGGACATCAGAAAACCCCGAAACATAATTCACGCTTTGAAAGTATGACTATGTATCTCGTGTGTTATGCATGAAATCTTGGTTTAGGTGCTTATGAATATAATTTATGAAATTCCGCTATTAGTACCTATTATAAACTCCTACAAGTGACCTTAAGTGTCATATCTTTCTTCTTTTAAAAAAAAAGTCATCTCTTTATGATAAGTGTTTTATTTTCCCAATTATTTATCATGATATATTTAACAAGATTTTGTAGTTGTTTTCCCCTTTTTAACCCCTTTCTAATTGCTTTTTGTGCATGTTTATAGCTTTTGGCTTCCCCGTTCCTTTTTATGTGTGTGTTCGTGTTTGTAGATGCAATGAAAAGTAGGTTAAGTAGCATGAACTTGAAGATTCTCTTGAGAAAGCGCACACCAGGAAAGAGCGCGCGCTCCTACTGTTTTGAAGCCCGATTTTTACAGATTTTTACAATGTAATTTTTGGGGTTATAAATGCGACCCTTGACTTCCATTATACGGATCTTCTTCCTTTTAATCTTCTGAGGCCCTTAATTTCTTAGAACTCTCATTAATTAGCTTAGATCTTCTCAAACTCAATCATTTTGTAAGAATTAATTGAAGATTATTCTTTAGATTTCAAGTATTTCTCAACTTTGAAGCATCTTAAGTAATATCAGCTTTAATTTCTGTTTTTATTTACTTTTTGTAGTGCTAATTTCTTCCTTAATCTTGTTTATTTGTTGTTGCATGTTAAATCAACTTAGATTTTATCACTCCTTTCATTTTGTTAGATTAATGCAAAAATTAGAACTTGTTACTAGGATGTTCTTCACCATGTTTAGTGAGTAGTTTATTAGCTAGGGATTGGGTGAAGACCCACCCAAGCCATGGTTTGATTGATGTTAATGCTTGCATGTTCATTTTGGATTAATGATTGATTGTTAAAGAATTGGTTAGTTGCATGTGTAATTGGATGACCACTTATTGCTCATGTATTCACTTATATGCTTGCGGCATTGAAAGATGAGGCTTAGTTGTGAGCCCTTTCTTGTATGATATGCTAAATTCCTCTTGATTACGGTTCCTTGTTTGGATGATGTAGTAGTCTTAGTTGCAATAATTAGGTGAGAATTCCCAATTACTTGTGCCTTAATGCTTTCGTGGACCGATTGAAAGACAAACCCGAGTTAGTAGTCTACTTGTCATCATTTAGATTTGGTTGGCCTATTTTGTTAGTTGAGTTTGGTTTTTCGGGGAGGAGAGGAACGACGACCTTCGAATAACACATTTATTAAACTAATATTATTTTTGCTAATTTGAAATTATTTTTACTTATATTCTATTATATTTCTTCTTTATATTTACTGAACTGAAATTATTTTTTAAGGTGAAGTGAACAGGGCCTTAATCCACATACTAATAATTATATGTTGAAAATTGATTACATATTGACAACATCACATCTTTCTTAGAATATTCCCTCCTTATTTTTGTAAGTGAAACATTTTAACCTTGTGATCACTTATTCATCACTTAGGGTGTGTTTTATTCACTTGATAAACTTTTAAAACCTGAATTAAACTTATCTGAACTTATAACACCTAAAATAAGTGAAAATAAGGTGAACAGAACAAAACAAAACAAAACATTAATCCACATTGATTACTATTAGTGATTTATACAATACATAAGAAAACATATAGTCTTACGGATACATATTTGAATTTTGTCAATAAATAGATAATTAATATTCAATTGTTATAATTTAAAATATTAGTCAAAATTTTACGTCATACCTGCACGATCACATATATATACTCGACTAAGGTGTCAAAATTTTATCTGACTGACCCGATCAAAAACTAACTTGAAAAATAGTATTAAATTTGTATATCATCAAGTTTAAACTCACAATGAAAAATAAATTCGATTGCCCTGATCCGACCAAACCCAATTTAACCTAGAGAACACCCGAACCCCATTTCCGCAGCTATAGCTTTATCAAGGGTTTTTCCATCCACCATGATCCGATTCGACCCGACCGATCTGAGCTCACATAATTACGATCCAAATGCCCGAAATGACTGGCCTCCTCTCTTCTCGCACAATTGAGCTACGTCAACATAAACGACTCGTCTCTCCTAAAATTTCTGCCAATTGAATTTCTATCTGCATTAACCACCAAAACACTCTCGAACCTTCTCCTTTCTGCCGACGACCACCACCACCCCGACAACCGCAACCACCACCACCACCCCGACAACCGCAAACACCACCACCCCGACAACCGCAACCACCACATCTTGAATTCATTTTCACGATGGATTTACACGCCGATCTCCTGTTAATTTACACTAATCTTCAAAATGCATTGAACAATATCGCGAATAATATAATTGATCTACACGATCAATTACAAGCTTTGGTTTTACAGTATAATGAGGCGTATGCTAATTTTCTGTTTCAATCTAATCAAGATACTCCTAATCTTGATTCAATTGAAATTTTGGGGGTTGCTACTTCCGATTTAAGGTCTCGTATTCAAAATGTTGAGAGCGTTATTAGGGTTAGGCAGCAACAATGGAACAGGGCCGAAATGATTCGAGGGATTCATTATTTGTCTTTGGTATCGGCTCCGATGCTCATAGTGAACGGCGTCGCTAGTGCTACGATTTTACTTGATCTTCATCTTCACTATGGCTGGAATGGGACGATTCTTTTGGGGCAGATTCCTTTGGAAGAAGTCGATGAGGTTGACGATATTCTCGGCGATGGCTTTTTCGAGAATGTTGTGAATCTTGCAGATGCCTGAATTTGGGCTCCTTAATTTATATAAGTTAAAGAAATCTTGAAGTCTTTCGATTACAATTTGGGAATTTTCGATTTTGAGGTTTAATTTTTGGTGGGTATTAGCTGAATATTGGGAGAGGATTGGAAAGTGAAGCTGTTCTGTGAGATCGATTTCAGGAACTCAATTTCAATTGGGTATGTAAGATTATTTGGATAGGTTTCTGAATATTGGGTGAATTTCGTAAATTGGGGAATTGATTGACAGAGGTTGCCAAAAGTGAAGTTCTGTGCAATCGATTTTAGGGTGCTGCGATGTGAGGTATTGATTTTTTTTGCCAGTTACAACCTTCTTTTTTATTATACAGTATTGTTTATCATAGATTTATTTTGTGTTACAATAGCTATACTCAAATTGAACTGGGAATGATTAGTTTATTCTTAAAACCTACATATTCTGTCAAGTTACAAGATAATTTGTTTGAGACTGTTCTCGATTCTCTCTTAGACTTCCAATGGGGCTGCATGTTGTTAATATTAGCTAATTGTTATTATTTTATTGTACTAAATATTATATTATGATCTAAAAAATGAATTTGAAGTTGAAATTGGATGGTTGGATTTTGTATGGTTGAATTGGATTGTTAGCTTTTGTATGATTGTATTGGATGGATCCGATTCTCGGTTAATGGGTCGGTTATGAATGGTTTGCGGATCTTTGTAGTTACTATTTGCATGTTTGTGGTAAAATTGAAATCTATGTCGAGAAACTTAGATTGTGATACCAAACTTTTAGCTGAATTATGTTGATTATATATGGAGCTATTTCGTGGGTTTTAGATTTGAGCGCAGTGCGATGTTTCTGGCAAATAATTGGCCTGTGATAACTAGTTGTTGGTGTTAGGTGTGGTTATGGCATGGGGATTATGTAAGCCTGTAAGGTTTTAGGGCTTGATGGCTGTAATAAACATCTAACCGACTCTTAGGCCTTCCTTATCTTGTCAAAGTTGTGGGAGGAGGGAAATATGTCAATTTCACGTGAATTGGTGGACTTTGGTTATAAGGCTTGATATAATTCATCCAGCAGTTAGTAGACAACTACAGTTGGGGCATTTCCTGAATAAATAAGATCAAGATGATTTGTTTATTCTTAAATCCTACATATTCTGTCAATGTACAGATGATTTGTTTGAGACTGTTCTTGATTCTCTCTTAGACTTCCAATGCCAAAATGTTGTTGACCACTCTGAATGTTTAATGGGATTTGTTTCTGAGAATGTATTAGCTCATAGTGAGAGATTAAAATGCATACGTGACGAGCAGTGTAAAATGTCAGTTGATAGCAATGTGCAGGGAAGGGGGTAGGGAGGGAAGCAGAAAGGAGGCAGGATTGGGATATGACAGCTGTTTGAAGAAAATATGAAATTCTTGGTGATGGCCCTTCAGCCATTCTAATGACCGCATGGAATTCGCCCAATTCCGAAACATATTTTTATATGGATTTCCAAACAGGTTATTTGTGCTTATCCAGATTTTCTAATGAAATGGTTGTGTCCATACATCCCCTAACAGAATACGGCATAGCTGGATGATGAATAGCCGCTTTGTGGCTTGGTGCATGTTTTGTCACTTACTGTTATATTTTGATGTTATTTCAGTAAAATTTCACTGCATCTTTAGCTCACATCTATTTCCTATGCAGTACAAGTCTTGGGTCTAAAGTTAAGGGAGACACGGATGGTAGTAGTCTTTTTGTTGACTCGTCTCTCTCCTTTTCTGTTCCTCAAGAAAATATAGGGGTTTGGGTCTTCTTGTACCACTTGGAGATCATACTCTAACCACTTCTTGACTCTTTTACTCTTTTTCTTCTCCTTACTGATCCTGTCTCCACAGCTTGTACATACATACAAAATTCATATACTATCATCAAAGACCCAGCCTTATTGGAGGTAGTATCTTTTCTCCAACTTGAGTTCTTAACATCTCATTGCCTTGAATTTTATTGCAACTATCATCAAAGACCCAGCCTTATTGGAGGTAGTATCTTTTCTCCAACTTGAGTTCTTAACATCTCATTGCCTTGAATTTTATTGCAACTATCATCAAAGACCCAGCCTTATTTCATCCTTGTTAAACACCTTATCTACCATATCATTGACACGTGATTAAAAGAAGATAAATTAGGGAGAAAAGCTCACATGCTTCTTACTCACGTAATGCTCAATGTCCAGATCAGCTGAACCAAGTTCTCTTAATGGGGGTCTTTTTTTTTTTTTCCCTTTCCTGATTCGGGGATGTTGATGTTGCTTTTACCTTGGAATTTAGCTGGAGCGAGGGAGGGGAGGGCATGAATGAAATGTGGTTCTTATTCATGTTGATTCATTGTTTTAAATGGTTTTTATTGGTTTGTAAACTAGAATTTCCACAGTATATTTGAATTCACAATTGGGGGTTCCTTTGCATTGAACTGTCTAATATAAACTTAATATGTCATCTGGAAATTTGATAACAGAACATATCAACCAAATCCAACTGCCCCTCTCCCCCCCCCCCCCCCCCCCCCCCCCCCCCCCCCCCCCCTCTTTCCCTTTCTTTTGACTGAAATAAACAAAAACAAAATCATAAATAAGATAATGTACATCAGTACTTGTTTATCTTTGATATACTCCTTTTCTTTTCTTTCTTTTTTTAATTTTATTTCATTTTTTTTTCCGGTATGTTTCAAATTAATGTTCTGAAATTTATACATTCAATAGCCATACATTGATGACTGATTAAATTCTTGTAATTATAGGTCTTAAGTCTCATTGGTGGAGAGCAGACTGGAAACTCTTCAGCAAAGTCTATAAAAGTTGAGAGAACAGTGGTTGAGTCGTTGAGATGCCTGAGCTGATAGATACGGGTATGGTGATTTGCTTGGAGAATAGCCAAGGAAAGCTAAAAAGAGCAATTTGTTGCACGCAAGCCTTTGTCATCATCTCTCTTAATTTATCTAAGAACTGACGATGATTCACGGTAAGAATAATTTTATTTTGTTTTTAAATGTCAATACTTTTGTCCTTTTCCTTGTGCTTTGGTTTCTACCTTTTCCGTCTGTTTCTATGTATACCTCTTTTTGAAAATTCAGTGTGTTTTATATTATATTATATACATCTGAAGAACAGTAAGAAGAGTAGAATTGTTATGCCCAACATTTATTGTAAATTCTGCCATTTGGTTAACCTCCCAAAAACAGGGTGGATGAAAAAAGAGTCAAACCTTGCAAATTCATTATTGTTACACACCCTTTTAATAGGAGCTTGTGAAAATAGTGCACAAGTTCACTTGTTCCACAACTACTTTCTTTTATACCAAGAAAACTAGCCTTTTAGACCTCTCTCTAAGACCTAGGCCCTTAGCCTGGAAAATGCTAATAATGGAACAGAGGGTTTAAAAACCAGCCAAGATAAGGTTACCCTTTTAGCCCTCCTTGTTTGATTTCTTTGAGCTGCTTTATTTAGAACAGGTTTGTAATAAGTGTTGCATGATTTGCGTATCCATAGATAGCTGTTAATTGAATGCCAGAAATTTGGGAACAAATGTGAGAAGTAAATATTGTGACTAGTGAAACATTACGAGATATTGTTGTAGCCTTTATGTAGACCTTTTCATTTTCCAGTTTACCAACACAATGTCCTCTCAAGTGTGCTAGAGCATAGACATTATATATAACATTAATTTATAAACCAGGATGCCTATAGAGTATAGAATACTAAGTGTCATTACTTGTCCATCTTTCATCTACAATCCAGTACTACAGAATATGTTTAATAAGGTTTTCTGATTTGAGTTCAATTATTTGAGTTATTGTCAATCTTTGCATTCTATCGAGTCTTTAATGTCTGACTTTTGGAAGATAAAGTGGATGACACAGAATTACTAATACATTATTCTAGGGCTGCTCCAATTTTACTTATTGCACTTCCTCCACTCTTTTAGTTGCAAGGCAAATTGCACTATTCATGTTCTCTCATTTGACCACCTTTGTAGATTTATATGTTGGGCAAAATATTCTTATGAGATCTGTTAGATTCGTTTCAATTTATATTTTTGTACATATTTATAATTAGAGAAAGGGTTGGTATTTTATGCATTAGCGATCGTGAAAGGCAAAACGTTGCAACTAAAAGAAAACAGAGGAAATAGTTATTTTTATTAATTATTATTATGAATTTGGTTAACACTTATTCTACGCTCAACTTGTTGCCTTATTCTGTTTTAGACAGCCTTACTATCTCCAATTCTCCATTGGCTTTCATAAGTCTAGTCACATTTTCAAGACCATTCATTATAGGATTTTTATGTTTGTTGGTACTACGTACCCTTTCTCTGTAATACTCTGTATATTAATTGATTGTGTGGGTTATTTTAAGAGATTGAAGAACTTTTACTGTTACAAGAATTTCTCAAAATTATGTTGGAATTTTTTTTCCTTTACTTAGATTTGTTCATTTTGTGTTGCTTTAACTGTGACAGGATCATTTGACACAAGCGTGAGATCCCTAAGAGGGTAGTATAGTTCCCTGATTCAAAGGGAACAATACTAGATTCATTCAGACAAATCAATGTCGGAATCCAGATGATTTATTCGTGGCAAAGTTGCAGTGATAAAAACATGATATTGTCAAGAATTTACTATGACGTGTTGTAGAAGTCATAAGAGCTAGACAATCTTAAATCCCTTGTCTTTGTGCAGTATTTGTAAGTTTAGAAAGGATGAGGCTGTTTAGTGCAGCTATATACTTGTGCATTTTTCGAAGAACGAATTCTTGTAGTTATTCCAATTATACTGCCTATTTTTTTTTTTTTTGGGAGTCTGAAATACCAATACAGGATTTCTTGCTTAATTTTGCACTGTGACAATTGATGATTGTAACTCAAAGATGTTTTATATTTGTTGATACGTTATTTTAGGCATGTTCATCAATAAATGATTTTAAAAATCAATATCTTCGATTATCAAAACACACACATCACTCATCAATACCTTCAATTTTCAGTAGACAAAAGTTCAGGAAAGTTGATATTCAGAAAATATACCTTAAAAGTTTGAGATGAATCTAATATACAAGACTATATTTCTCCAGTATAAATCACAAAGTATACTAGTAAGAAACAAAGAGCATATGTATTCATTAGTTCTGCTTACGAAGAATCAAATGCACAATTATGCTGGTAGAATAAGGTTTCTGGTTTCCTTTTTAATGTCAGCTCCAGCACTACCAAGGGTGTATTAAGGAATTTGACAAGTATAAGCCAACCATGGTTTAATTTACACTGTACTTTCCGAAATTTGGGTGGGAAGGTTAAGAATAACTTTGGCTGTAAAAATCTCCCGCACAACTTCAGAGTAACAAGGGAAGAATACAGCTAGCTATGAGTGAAGCTGGATGCACCCAAAATCTTTAACTCAGAAGGGGTCAAAAACTAAAGAAAGACTGGGATCTCAATGGTTTAATCCGAGTAAATTCATTATTCTGGCAGTAGAGGTTACATTATGGTCTTGTTTTGGCCTTCTGAATCAAATTCTAGGAGAATACACCAGTGGATTGGTCACCGTAAATTTCTGAACTCCCAAGGATCGGTTTCTACATCACTTGACTGCCAACATGTATCCTCAAAATTTGCAACAATGACTCTCAATTACTGATCTATTTCCTGTTTTCCTTTCCTTCAGAATTTTCTGTTTCCTGTTCCTTGTAAAACCCAAGCTCAGACAATTCATGCTTTGCCATTAAGTTCCTGCATATCCCCAGTTACAGTCCTCAGAAAATTTCAACAAAAACAATCACCACAAATAAAGGAAAAGGAAGAGATCGAGGAAGAGGGGGGGGGGGGGGTAGAGTAAGGCAGACAGACAAGAAACTCACTTCTCCATTCGGCATTGCAAACATTTCTTTGAAAACTCTACATTTTCCCGAGTCATGGCAAGCAACTTTTAGACAATTAAGATACTCTTTTTTCCCCTGCAATTACATCCCAAATATGAATTAATTAAGGCATTAAGCCAACACAAGATAGCCCTCTATTATAAGGAGTACAAAAGATAGAATTACAATGCCCTCTAAGGAAAATAGGCTTTAATGGTGCCAGCACCAGCAGGGACATCTATATCATTAGAACCATCACCAGGGGAGGTTGCTGCCAAAATAAATTCCACATTTACTCCAGACACCATGTTCGATTTCTTTCTTCCACCACTCCGTGTCTGTGGCTCAAATTCCATGGCACCACTTAAGGTGTTGGCACCTTTAGTACCCCTGAAACTACATTAACTGGACCATTGGGCATCTCTGTCACAGAGCTGTAGAGGATAAACAAGATTATAGACATGTAAAAGGTTGTGAAGCCAGCTTTGTTAGAAGATTGAGTGATTCCATTCTCCTTAGTAGGATTACTTCTTCCACCGCCAGCATCTGAAAGCGTTGTCCCAAAATTCACATTGATGATTCATAGTACACATCAGAACAAAATAAAAAATGAAAACCACACTAGTATAGCATGTAAAGGCCGGTTCATTTTTGTTTTTATTTATTTTATTTTTGTTTCTTTTTGAAACTAAAACAAAATTAAGAAACTATAAGAGGTGGTTTTCATGATGTTCTAATAAGTTTCACTAATTTTTTATTTTTATAATGAAACATATCCACCGTGAATCAACAATATCTCGGCCAGTCTGGTTCTGTATTATACACACACAATTAGAACTCGGAATGCAAAATGCAATCTGACCAACAGGTGCAGCAGCCAACAATGCCTGTCTCAGTGCAGAAAGTCCCACCAATTACAAATATCAAACAGGTGCAACAGGCAGAAAAGGTGAAACCAAATAGTGTAGCAGAGAAAATGTAGCAAGTGGGGCATGTACAAGGAAAGGTAAAGATTTAATAGGTGGTTTTGAGTCATTATTAGTGGATTTTAAGAGAGTGTCATAAGTGGAGTTTGTGTAAGATGAAGCAGGAAAAAGAGTAGAAAATAATTTAAAATAGGAACAAATGTTATAAAAGATTGGAAACTGAAATGGCTCAAGAATTTTAAACCCCTAACAGGTAGCATGATTCCTTCAGAAAATATCCCAAAGGTTTGCAATAAAGAATACATTGTTATGACAATGGCAAAATCAATTGATAAACTTCATTTTTCCCCTTACTGGAGCAGCATAACGCCAATCACAGAGGCTGCAAAACAATGTATGATACACATAGCATGCATTGTTTGATACCTTAATAAGGCTTTGGACTTATTAAGAAGTACTTTCTAAAACCTCCTTAAACTAATGTATGGCTGAAGAAAAACCAATGAAGCTCAAGTAACAATAATTTAGAGAAATTCAAAATTAAGAATAATGCTAGCAGCAGCGCCTCAAATCACCCCAAAAACTTGCTAACTTGGTGACTCTCGAGTAGGTTGAGACAAATGTTGATCAATGATGTTCAATGCCAAGAAAGGTAAAAGCAGAAATTGGAAGTCTTTTTCCAGTTCTAAAGTTTAAATTTCTAAATGCTACTGGCATCAAGGTTGGACTGCCTTGAATGATTCAATGAGTATGTAAGATCTAGAAACACTATTGTTACAGTAGCACTGCACACACATCTAGCTTTATGCATCCCAATAGAAGTTACAAACGGTATAGAGATGGGTCCCTGATGGAAAGCACAACCCATAAAAACCATGGTCAAGGATAAGGGCATTGCAGGAGCAAAAGGCAGATACCTAAGTGGGAAATTACAATATAAATCATCATGATTTGAGGGTGTTGTTTTTTGTTGATGATTTGTTGTAAGAATTAGGGTTTTAACTTGATAAATTGTTGTTATTATGAGGTTTACTTAATTTGCTTAGTAAATAATTGCATGTGTTAGCTTGTTGACTATTGGAAAACAATAATAACTCATTAACAAGATGTAATGCCAATGTGTCATACGCGATGCTTTGTAATGATGTCAGCCTCCTAAATAAGGCCTTCAGATGGTGATTGCGTGTGACTAATCGTGTCATTGCTTTTGCGGCTCTTTATAACTCCACCTAGCAACACCTACCCTTTATACCTTAGTCTCAAATTGTTAACAACTGCATTTTCTGTGAACTCAGTGACTGTCTTTTAGGTACCATGTAAACTAATTGCTGCTATCTAATACAAAGTGTCGCTGGGTACTTCAGATGTCCCATTTCTATAATTATGTGACTAAGTAGTAATTGCAGAATGAATTTAACATTTTTTAGAAAATGCCTTTAATCTGATTTGAAAGTATTATCTTTAACTTCATCTTTATGAGACCACATAAAAAAGAAATAGATATGGTAATTGTGAGATGAAAACGGACATTTAAAGCTGAATAGTCCAAGGAAAGAAGTGAAACAATTGAAGTAAGACCAGACAGTACAAAATTGCTAACACGGTTGTTAAAATGGCTGCCATATATATTGCTATGCTCAACTCCTCATAAATTCAACTTTCTAATACAGGGTATCTGTTTTACAATGTTAACGATTTCTGTCTCCCTTGCTGTTTGATACTGTATGTAGTAATTTAATGTGAGTGGTGTTATTGTGGTTGTTTCCTTTCAGCCATGAAGAGGAATGCTTTTATGCATTGGACTTAGGTGAGACAATCCTTCGTGTAATGCAAGTTATATTGCAGGGAAATAGGACTATTGAACTAAAAGCCGAGTCTTATATGGTGCCAGGTGCCTTAATTCTAAGATAAAGTTTCACATGTTTTTAAATCAATAAAAAGCTGATTTTGATATTGTTCTTGGTAACAACTAACAAGAGGGAGCTTGGTTTTACTTTCTCATTTCCGGTGCACCAAACAAACAAGGATCAACTCCGGAAGTCTCCTTGATTGGACAAGGAATACAATGCAAAAGATGCTCTAAGTCTCTTATGCCTTTTAGTAAGTACATTACAATGTACCATGTTCAGCTCCATGCATTTGGCTAAAAGGCGGTAATATGAAATGTTTGACATTGGAAACACTAGCAAATGAGATTAGAATTGAAAAGAATAGTTAATATTTTATTTTTTTTAGTCTGAAACAATGTTTGCAGATCATTTTGAAATTTCGCGTCTTACTTTTTATGTAGCCTAGAGTCTAAGAGTTATCCAAGCATGCTGCAGCTTCTATTTCTACAGCCAGTTTGACAGAGTCTTAAATCTAAGGAATTCATATCAATTTTTATCTGGAATGTTTCATGTGAGTGCCTGAGGTCATGTTTTTCTATAAACAAACAAACCCAAAGTACGTGTTATAATTCACTGGTCTTCATTCATGTTTTCCAATATTTGCTGGAAACATGAAGATATAAATTGATATTTGATCATCTAAAACATATTAAGATTGGCAAAGACATGGTGGAGGAGTTGTCGAAGGCTTTGGAGAAACGGGCTATTGCTGTTAATGTAACTGCTTTGGTAAGTTAAACTACTACTCTTATCAGTCTACTTTTTCGGTCAAAATACTCTTTTCTGAACTTCAGAAGTTGCTAAGTTCTATATGTTACCAGCTCAATGATATTGTTGGCACTTTGGCAGGAGGTCGATTATAAAACAAAAATGTTGTTGCAGCTGTGATTTTGGGTACTGGTATGCATGAATGCTGCTTATATAGAACAGTCTGAACGCATTTTGAAGCCATATGGTCTTCCACCAAAATCAAGACAATTGGTAACTTTACCTTTATTTTCCTGAGTTTTAAATGTCAAAAACTGTTGTTTTGTGTATTAAAACATAGGTTATCAACATCGAGTGAGGCAATTTCAATCCTTTACTTCTTCCTTTAACTGGCAATGATCGTGCTTTAGACAGTGATAGTCTGAACCACCACAAGCAGGTGGTTGTTTACTGATTGATAATCTTGCAACTGCTTAAAAGTTCAAATCATTATTATATTTCAGATCCTAAAAAAGATGCTTTTTGGTAGATATATTTGGGAGAAGTCGTGCTGAGAATTTTAATAAGCTTAGTTGATGCTGCTGTGCTTTTTGGTGACATTGTTCCTCCAAAACTTCGACAACCTTATTTTTTTAGGGTATGTGTGTGAATTGCAATCAGTCTTTTCTGTGGACAATTTGTCATTCTTTGTTGCAACATATTTTTGATGCCTAATTCGATCGCTATGGTTTATGCAGGACGGATATTGTTTCAGCAACGCATGGTGACAAGTTTACAGATCTGAGTGTGGTAGGGAAAAACCTAGAAAAGGTTTTAGTGGTATGTTTCCTTACAAGTGAATTCCTTAAGCATGATCACCTTTGTTACTGTTACTATAGGACATTCACTTATCTTTCTGTACCATACTGAACATCACATGACCACATCATATTAAAGCAATGTTTAGGTAATGATGATAAAATTTCGTTTATGTATTTGAATATTACTGATATGATCATACCGAAAATTATTTGGATTGGTAAATTGAACTTAGTAGCCCATACCTGAACTATATTTTTGCTGATAATTGTGTATTTTGAAGTACTACATACATGTTAATGCTGTTATAAAATACAAAGTATTTGGATATTGAAGCATAGAGGTTTAATTGACATTTCTCTCCATGTATTCTGTTTAATTGACAAAAAATGATCAAGTGAAAGGTTAGTTCATCATAAAAAGTTAAATGACAGGTATTTTGTCTGCTCACTTGCTCAGTAAACAGAAATTGGTTTTGTGCATATTAGCTTTAATTTGTTTGGAGAAATTAAATTATGTTAGTAACTTAAAGATGCAAATTATACAGAAACTACTACTCATAACTATCTTTTAACATATTTTTTTTCTGCATTACTAAGCTAGTTAGATCTGATGAGTATACTAATTAGTACACAAATAATCTTTGGAATCCTAAACAAACATGGAAACACCACCATTTAAAGTGCAACATCTCTTTACTTTGTTGGTTTATCCTGCTTTCGACAATTCGACAGGCATTACTTAGCTGCTTTCAGAATATGATGACTTTGTTTACTGCTTTTTGGTTCCAAGGATTTCTGAAGCCAATGTTGAACTTTCTTCTTTATTGTGTTCGATTGAGCTCGAGACAGATAAAACCCAATGGAATCAAGATACCAACCACTTCTCCCTTTGAAGCCAATGATTCTTCCACCCTCCATTGGGAAGTAAAACGGGGTTCCATCTTGTATGCCAAACGGTCCAAAGGTTCTCAGATTGCTCTTAAACATTAACGATCTAATAACCGGAGGCATCCCTTGTACTAATGAAGAGTAATGGCCGCTTACACTGATCAAATACTCCTCTGGATAATTCAGCTTAATCTAGCATATGTATATCAAGTCATTAAGTGAAAATAGAGAACTGAATTCAGTCCTTGTATAGTACTAGTTAGACCCTGTTCACTTTACCTTAAAATAAATAATATTCAGTAAAAAAATAAGTTCAGTTTGTCAAAATTAATTTCACTTCAGTGAAAAGAATTTTAATTTAGTAAAATCAGTAACTTTAAAGAAGAAAAATGATAGAAAATTAGTAAAAGTTCATTAAAAATAATTTCAATTCATTAAAAATAATTCAGTTCAACAAAAATAAGGTGAAGTGAACGGACCTTAATAGATAGCTAGAAGCCAAATTTCGAAAGAGTAGGAAGAGTTACCTCGACAGTTATGCTTCCTCCATTGCCTCCATGTTTCTCTGACTTAACAGGTTTACCATTCTTGTCATACACCACAGTAATTGAATCGATACATCGATCATAGACTAGCTTAATTTCTCTTACACCGCTAAAACATCCATCATCCCAGCTAGTTCCACCACTACCTCCCCACGGTCCAACTGCTATCTTCATTTTCGTCTTCTTTTGCTCTTTCCCTTCCTAGTAAACCATCCATAACACTAAAATCATTCCTTAGATAAAATTTCGAAGATTTGATAATACACAAACATGCATCATTTGAAAGAGCCAGTTAACAAGGAATGTTAAACAAAACGTACCATTCTTAGACTGAAAGACCCTGATGAAAGGAATTAGTAGTAGCGAATTCGAGCAACATGATACTTATACTGTTATAAAGATGATTGAAAGTAAATGGAATTTGCTATTGAGAATCTGATACCAGTTTTCTTTCATCGTTAAATTGGAATTTTGCTTTTGTGTGGATTCAACAACTAAGCTTAGCTTGGTGACCTCACCTTTACAACTGTGTAACATAATATCCTAGGCTTTTACATTTTTCTGTTTTGGTCCGTCGAAATTGCTTTAACTAGTTGTTTACAATGTTTTGGAACAATAACTTCACTCTCACAATTGAAAGCATATTTGTTCAATAGTGATGCTTACAAAATTGGAAATACAATCATATTCAATAATAATAATTTCAATTTAATAAAACTAGGTGTAATCAGTACAAAATAATTAACTAAAAATAATTTCAATTCAATACAATTAATTTCAGTTTAGCAAATGTAAGGTGAAAAGAATAAGGCCTAAATTTGCTTTTCCAAATTTTAATTTTATTTTTGTTGCTAACAATGTGTACTTTTCAAATGCATCTTATGAACGTTTTAGAATTGTTTTACAAAATTAAAAATATTTAGCTACATACGGAGTATAAAGTGTTATAAAACCCGCACAAATAAAAAGATATGATCATCTTAGTCTAATCTTATTTGACTTGATGTAGTCTAATCCGATCTGATCTAATATGATATGATCTAATCTAGTCTAATCAATTACTTTTATATATAGTACGCTTGATAAAAAGCTCAAAGACAAGAAATTACGAATCTAGTACAAATGGGTCAACCATAATGCATTAAACACTTCTCAATGAAATTCTTTCTTGCTATACTATCCTTGTAAGCTTTCGAGTTTGACTTGTTCCTTTTTAAAAAAAAAAATGGTATTATTCTATCTTCGTTATCAAAAATTTACTATAAATATTGTAGTGTATCGATATATACTACTAATGAAATTAATTTTATATATGATTAAAGTTTTGAACTTATAAACATAGTTAAATTTAACTAAGATGATAAATAGTTTTATCAATTTTATTAGCGGTATTAGGGGTCTGTTCTCTTCAACTTAAATTCAGTTCAGTTCAGTTTAGCTCCAATCAGTTCTATTCAGTCCATTCCAGTTAAGCTAAGCTCTAATAAGTTCAGTTCAGTTTATTTTATGTCTAATGATATTGCTAATGATAATTGCCAAATTTCATACTTTTAGCATATATTACAATAATAATAATAATAATAATAATAATAATAATAATAATAATAATAATAATAACAATAATAATAATAATAATAATAATAATGTTATTATTATTTGTACATAAATATTTTAATATGTATTTTTGTATTATATATATAATAATAAATAACCAAAAATCATTAATCCATAGTTAAAAATCTCTAATCAATCTAGTCAAATAGTTCAGTTCAGTTCAATTCTGTTTTGTTCAGTTAAATTCAGCTCTAATAAGTTAACTTCAACTTAGCTCTAATAAGTTCATCTCATCTCAGCTCATTTCAGTAAATTAGAACAGGCCCTAGGATCAACTCTTTCCCCACAATATTATTAATTTTCCTTCTTATATTTTAAATTGACTTACTTTACATCAAAAAAAAAAAAAAATCCATAAACATGACATTTTTTTACACTGTACAACTAATCAAATTTTTTTGATATTCAAATTTTAAAATATTTTCATATCTTTTCTTTAATCTAATATTTGTATGTATTTTCTATGTTATAATTTGAGTCTTACATATCCAAACAAATCTTAAGGTTTGACATACAATTCTATTAAAACCAACTCAACCAATTCAATCAAATTTAGGCTCTGTTCACTTCACCTTAAAAATAATATTTAGTAAAAATTATTTCAGTTCAGTAAAAATAAGTTCAGTTCAGTAAAAACAATTTTAGTTCAGCAGAAATAATTTAAGTTCAGTTAAAATAATTTAAGTTCAGTAAAAACAATTTTAATTGAGCAAAAATAATTTCAGTTCAGTTTAAATAATTTAAGTTCAGTAAAAATCCGTAAATTTAAAGAAGAAATATAATAGCAAATCATTAAAAATAATTTCAATTCGGCAAAAATAATTTCAGTTCAATAAAATTAATTTCAATTCAATAAAAATAATTTAAGTTCAGCATTAATAATTTTAGTTCAGTAAAAATAATTTTAGTTGTTCAACAAAAATAAGATGAAGTGAACGGGCCTTAGTAGTATAAAAATAATTATAACATTAAAGAAAATAATTAAGTAAATATTAGGTTAAAAAAAATATGAAAATATTTTAAATCTGTAATATAATTGTAGAGTCAATTCACCACAATCCCCCAAATGCCCACTCCTCAAATTCTATTGATCTCAAGTTATATCGTTTCTTCCCTTGATATTGAAAGGTCTAATTAATTACTCTTCAATGGAGATCTCGAAAAATGATCGAATTAGCGATTTACCAAAACACATAAGGCAACACATACTCTCCTTCTTACCTTACAAACAAGCCATTGCAACAAGCTTATTATCGACAACTTGGAGGTTCGATTGGTTCAACATCGAAAACTCGTATTTTCCCGAGTTGTGGAGATCATATGATCAATACTACGACAACTTGACGACATCGCATAACCCCATCTCGCGTTACCTACATTTCCTTGATAACACTCTTAGAAGAATCAGGTACTTTTTAGGTGATGATCAACTATCGATCCCAAATCTTAAGCTTCGAATACATCCATTGTTGGCCGCGTTTAGTCCTGACATTGCTGAATTTCTACCTAGACTTAAGGTTAAGAATTTATCTCTTTCTATCTTTTTGGATTTTGATTTTAATAACTCGAATGACTTTGTTATAAGCTCTGTCTCGACACTGCCAATGTTATCGGAATTAGAAATTTATAACAATTACCTACCGTCATCTATCGTGCCTTGCCTAGCAGCCATCGTTACGCGTCGTTTACAAAAACTGTCTCTTATCTCAATCACTATCGAGCAATCTAAGATCGATAAAGTGATTGTGGGTTGTAATTGTATCGAGAGTTTAAGCTTTGAGCAATGTGTTGGCCTCACATATCTTAACCTTGTTGGGGTTTCGAAGTTAACAGAACTCGTTCTTAAGTATAATAGTAACTTGGCAAGTGTTGTGATGGATGATGGTGCAACAAATTTTCGATATTTGGAGTATGTTCCTAGTGAATTATTTGATGATGGGTTGCTAGTTTTGTCTAATGTTGGCTCATTAGAAGAGCGAGATTTGATGAGTTCTAAACTTCCAATGGGATGTGTGAATTTTCGACTTTCCAATTCGTGTAGTATTAAGAAATTAAAAATTTCTTGTGATATTCTAGTACAAAATGCATTGTGTATGAGTGATCTTGAAATTCTGAATATTGTGTGCCTTGAAAAGAGGCGGCTAGACTTACTTCGTCTAGATTCGTGTAAACGTTTGACACACTTACATATAACAACTTCTTATTCAATGACTGATGAATGCCTGAACTCGAATCTCTCAAGACTTGGTAACCTTAAGGTCTTAGAGATTAAGTATTGCGACGAATTGAGGCATGTGAAGATTGCTCAAGAACATCTAAAGACATTGATACTATACAATTGCAGAAGCTTGGAATGTGTTGTGATGGATTGTCCCAACCTATCTCACTTTAAATATGAAGGATATATTGTTCTTGATCTTGTTGGAAGGTCTATAATTAGTCCATGTAGTTTCGTCGAGCTTGCTTGCTATCGATTCTCTAAGATAGTGCATGCCAATTTACTAGCAGTGCTCAACATATTCGGAAATTCCAAGCATCTGACCTTACGAAACTTGAGAATCGAGGTACTAATTATGTTCCTTATCAAGGAGAAATATATATGAGTTTTAGTTATGATTTATTTGCCATAGCTATTTTTCTCCTCTTTATCAAGTGAAGCATTTGAAAGTATTAACTTATTTTGGGTCACCAACGCCAGAGCAACTCAAACAAATGACGACTTACATTGAGTCGCCGCCGCCACCACTTGGAGTGATCATGGATGCTTTACTTTGGCTATTCCCTCAGCTAGATAGTATTCGATTCTCATCTCCACCCGAAATAGTGGTATTTACTTCGCTGTTGGATTTATAATTTCATTTAAGTAGTCTCTCCGTTATCGTTTTGATATTGCACTATTTACACACCCCACTTTGATCTTTTTATTGTGCAAATATATAAAATCAAGCGTGTTCAATCATAGTGTTGCAAGTAATTTGGTATAGATATTGTAATCATTTTTATTAAATTATCGTTTTGTAAAGATTTTATCAAAGTAGCTTAGCTTGGAGTTTATTTTGTGTGGAAACTTCCTTATAATTATCTCATATTTGTGAATTGTTTCAGTCATCTTTCGATGTTATTGTTCGGTTCGTGTACACGGAGCCAATGGAAAGCAGCACAAACAACTGTGGTTGCTATGCATCTAATCTTCCTATCAATTGTTGGCAGCATGCATTGAAGATCATCGAAAAAAAAGAAGGATTTGATGATGATGATTCCATGGAATTGTTCTTCAATGTAGGGTTTTGAACTTGTAGATTTTCAGTGAGCCAATGAAGGTCAACAAGTAGTTTCTTTTTTTTTTCAACGCTTGTTGAGTTCCGTTTACCAAATTGGACTATGAATGTATTCACAAATTAGCTAGGGTTGGGTTTTAATAATTTTGATATTGTATTTTCACTTAGAATATGAATGAATGTTTGAAACGTGTGTATGAATTTAACCACCAATTATGTATTTATTTGTTTCCTGATAATAGTAAATTAAAAACAAAGACAGGGTTTAGGAATGAAGTTTAGTGCATGGTATAACTAGTTAAGCTAAAGTAAACATCTAGAATGAATAACCTCACAAAGATAAATACTAGTAGCTTTTTGGCCCGTGTAATCTAGCAATAACTCGTAGTTATGAAAGAAATTTAACACTTGCAATCGATTAGTTCGGAAATTGAGTTCAGCCACATCACTAATTGATTTTGGCACACCCCTATGTGAGAAGAGCATAGGGTGTGCCAAAATCAATTAGGGTGTGCCAAACGCTAGTTCCTTTAAGTTTTTTTTATATACTTTCTTTTATATTTACTACAATACTATTTCCAAAATTTATTTAAAACTGTTGAGACTACTTATATTCAAGGGGTGAATAATTACCTTTTTATAAAGCAACTCGTTCTGGACATTGCAATCAGTTACTCAGCTTCTTCAGCTTATAAGAGAACTGCATGTTTATTACTGTCAAAAACTAACTCCTAACATGATATTCAGCTTACAAAACTTGCAAATTAACATGAAAATCTATTAAAAATATATATATAAATCAAATACACGAGAACCTAAATTCTCTAATACAATTTAAACAAAATTACTTACAGATAACAGCACATTTTACCAACAAATACCCATAGAAACCAGCTGGGAAAATCTCGACAAAATTGACCTACAACCCACATTCAACATATACATTATCAACATTCCTCTCCAACTGCAAGCTAATAAAGATGTTTTCTTAGAAGTTCCTCCAGGAAAAATATGGAAAAGAGATGAGGTTGTATAAGTTGATTAGTGAGAAGGATAGACAGACAACTGAGACAAGAGCATAAAGACGTGACTTTCCTCTCGCACAACCAATAATAAGACCCTCATGGATTAAAGAGTTTTCTGAAAGGCCCATCCTTTCTATCCTTAGCAGCTTCAGTTAATGCAAGGAATCGCTTGAAACCAGTAGTGGCTGCTCCTCGACCCAATGCAGCAGCTCTTGCAAGCACATCTTCTCGAGAAGCAGCAACAGCTGATGTAGCAGGACTGCTTATAGCTGGCACTGCAGGTGGAGCAGGAGGAATTGTAACCGCAGAGGTCATTGATGGATGCTTAATGCTTGGACCATGTTTGTTAAAATCATCTAGTATGGTTTGCTGGTCAGCTTTTTTAAGACCCTGCATTTTAAAGTGCATTTTAACAGACATCAAATCCAGATTCATCAAAAAGAAACGTGCAGCTGAAAAAGGAAATGAAATAGCATAGGAATAAATCCATTAAAACTCTTTTTTCAGAGTAAGCCGCCAATAAACACATAAGCAGGGAAAATAACATATGGCACTAGTCACTAAAATTGAACTACATAGTTTTTAGTTTTCATACTTCAATTAATACTTGGTATTCCCATTGGTATTAATCTAAAAAGAATTACCACTAGGCCTATACTACAGTTTCTACTCTCAAACCATGTATCGATCATTTGCTGCTCCCATTTATAACTAATAGAGTAAGAAGGGAGTTAACTACCATTCTCAAATAGTCAAACTCTGGATGGGGTGCCAGCGGTTTAGTAGCTCAGAACATGAAATAGATAAGTGTCTATTGACATGAGGAAGAAAAGCTTGTACACACAACATGGCTGTAGAGTAAGCTGTGGCAACAACTTTAGGGAAACTAAAGGTTTCAGCAAAGGAATAAAACAAAACAGAATATAACCTTGAGCTCCAGGATTCGCTGAAATTCTGACGTAGTTCCTTCCGGTAATAAAGCACGATAAGTATCTGCTACAGAATCTAAAGGAGACAATATAACCTGTCCAAAAAAATGACAGTTAGCCAATGCAACAGTGTTAACATATGGATCCACCATTATCTTTTACTCACCTTCAAAAGGGCCTCTGCTTTACTCATCTCACGGCTAACGTATTTGGAGTAATTAGCAGCACCAGATGTCTATGTACATATCAAACATGAAAATGATTAGTATCATCACATACAGCTACGGCTGTGGGACTCGGCACCAAACTCAGATACCAGGAACAGATGCAAGTACTTCTAAAAAATATTTCCAGCTTATTTCACTTACACTGACCAATCATACCAATGGAAATAAATGGATACAAGTTCACAAATCAAATTTTGAAGTAGTTTAGTACTATTTGGTTTTAAACCAACAAAATTATGGAAAGAACACAATCATAATTTAAAAATAATATTTACATATACAGCCCTATATAAACATCAGGAGCACATGAACCCCCACAAAGTTCAGCTGTTGACCTCAATTGAATTATTGTAGTATTCATTTGCTTAAAATACAGCTTCATGGTAGTTTCGAAATAGCACTGCATTACCACAAGTCCAATTGCCATACAAAGATTTAACATGATTATATTGCAGAAATTTATAAATGCCCACCAGAATCCCAATCAAAGCAACTCAGTGGATGCAAAGGCAGTAAGATCATAGTTGGAGACTTGGAGTTAACAATCTCACATTAGTGAAGTATATAACTTACTTGTTTAGCAAGAGAAGGAACCTCCAAAAGAATTGTTTTCACAGCTTGAGTATCCAACAGCATCTGCAATAGAACAGTATGTGAGTTTTATGTTTGTGTTGTTGACGTTGAGATTTTATCTACTTGGCTACTTAACATAAAATAGAAAGATATACTAGGATATAGGATAAACAAATGAACTATTTCAAAACCATGATATAATGCACTCATTCTTAACATTAGCATGAATAATGATCTACGTTACACAAAAAAGCTGCAAGATAAAAATAAAATACTACCTCCGTTAACAGTTATTTGCAACAAAGGGGTTATGCGCGGAATCCTAGGCAAAACTTCTTAAACATGATTATTAAAAGTTATGGACATATAATTAATTATTAATCAAATTTATTAAAAAAAAAAAAAAAAAAAAAAAAACAATTGCAATCAAACCAGAACCGTCCAGACCACCACCACATGCCACCACCCAGAACCACCACCCATGCCACCCAAAACCCATGAACCACCACCCACGCCACCCACAAATCGCCGAAACCACCCACAAATCGCCAAAATCCACCTAAGAACCACGAAAACCACCCAAAAACCACCAGATCTGCAACCCAAAAACCAAACCCACCCGCGAAACAGCCACTTGCGAACCACCTAAACCCACGAAACAGCAAGCCACGAACCACCCACAAAAGCCACCAACACCCACGAACCACCAACACCCACACAAGACCCACTAATACCCACACACGAACCACCAACACCCACGAACCACCAGCACCCACGAAATAAACACCTACCAGATCTAATGAAACCCACACACAAACCAGATCTATTGAACCCACCAACGAAATAAGTAGAAATGAGGGATGAGAAATGAAGAAGGAAGAAGATGAAGATGGAGGAGAGAGATGGCGGGAGATGAAATTAAGATGAATCAGATTTTTTGGATAAAAGTTTAGATAATTGAGTTAGTTTAGAGTTATAATAATTTGTAATTATGTGTAGAGTGTTATGTGTTAATAATTTTTAAATGAGGGTATTTTGGTTATTTTATCATAAAAAAGTTACTATATTAAGAAAAAAATAGTTTTGTTGCAAATAATAGTTTCACCTGTTTTTGGTAAATGTTGCAAATAACTGTTAACGGAGGCAGTATTAAAATCCACAAAAGCTAATACAAGTATTGGATCTAAAATGGAAGAGCTAATACAGCTCAACACTTTGTATCAGAGGTTGCCATAAATCTTTTTAATACAAGATTTGGTAAAGATCTCATCTTACAAATAATTACAAAGAAATATCAAGCAAATATTCTATACTTATTTTGACCAAGTACCTGCTGGGCTCCAGTTTCTGATATCTGCTTGCATTTGAATATGTTCTGATAAAAACGGGGACCAAGTGAAGAAGCAAGCTGAAAAGCAAAAAGGGTAAAAAAAAATTAGAGAAAATAAAAATAAGGTTCAGACTAATAGGTTATGAGATATGGTATCCAGGAAACAAACAGGAAATTTAAAACAAGAGAGTAATAAACAGGATACAGCCATTCTGGCGATAATTTCTATTACTAATAAAAT